GTAGCTAGGTTGACGGAAGAATTCTCCCATTGACTTTTTCAGACCCGAGTGACGTAGCTGCACCAAGCTCACTTTTTAGTGTAGACCAGGACGAAAATGGTAGATTAGCCTCTCCAGGAGGCTAACGAAGGGATTCTTGGTTGAATCATTTAAAACAATAGCAGCGTGTGCTGCAGCAAACAATCCTGTGCTGCTTCTCACGGAAGGCGCTAGGTGACCCAGTAACAAAGTCAGAGTTTCTCCATCGCGGAGCTGAGGTGCTCTTGAAATCTGCTAGTCGGACCCTATTTCTTCTCAAGAGAGCAGGAAAAGCCTGACGCAGCTCTGGCCTGTGCAGCGGGGATTAGGGCAGGCAATTCCTGTCCCTGCTTTACGCAGAAGCAGCAAAGCACATCACAAACAAATTACAGATACAGGAAGCGGAGAGTTACCCGGGGGGGCGATTCTTTTAAACTAGTTTAATACACCTCTGTTATTGTTTCTTTTATGACAAGACCAGTCCACGAGTTATTTAAGGGTAACCCCCTGAGAAACGGCTCTACACGGTAATAATTGGCTTTTCCTTGTGATTAAATGCGGTGGCCTCGGCCCGAGGAACATTATTCTTACTCTAGGACAGCAAAAAGGAAGCTACAAGAAACCGCAACAGAAAAAAACAGAGCGAAATCATTCTTCTAGCATCTCAAGGCTTGGAACGTTCCATGCTGCTGCTTTCAGGGGCTTACCTGCGTGCCAGCCTGAGGCGGGAGTAGAGGGCGAGATTTGGATTTAGAGGAATACGTTATCAGGCGAGGGTTACAGGAAAGTATAGAATGAGAGTGATGGAGTGACTCAGAGGAGGAGATGATAAGCTAAGGAGCCTTTCAGCTATAATAGGTTCAAATCAGCCCAATTCAGTAGTGGCCAAAAAATTCTATGAACTGTTGAGTGCCCTGCATCAAGTGGGTCTCAGCTGCTGCTCAGCTCAGTGGCATAGGACATTTAACTAAATGGATCTCTTTGGAACACCTTCAAAATCTAGTTGGTTCTAAGTGTATCATTGTTAGAGGAGGCCTGAGCACGTTTGGGTGCAGATCTGAAGGGGGTCAAAGGTTAGGTGGTGGTAGAACCTAGGGGTTTGGTTCAACCCATTGAAGAGACAAGAGCCAGTCTGTTATGCAGATCCAGCTCTCAGTCTGGAGCCAAACTTCAAAGTTTAGGGCTGTTTAGATTCATGTCCATCGCTGCTTGCCATCTCAGCCTCAGCTTTCTTCTCTTTAAGGCCTGCTGTTTGGGGCTTTGGTTTTATTTTTCAAAACAGATTCTTCAAAGAGCTACTGCCGTCCTTTGAGAAACCAAAAGGAAGTAGTTGTTCCCGAAACAACCTTGCCTCTAAATCCCATTTCCCTTCCTAATGCTGTACTGATGCGTGTGGGGCTGTAGGGCAATTGCACGTGCCTCAGTTGGGGTTCCCAAAACAGTGGCTAACTCTTTGTTCATTACTTAGCCCCTTGTTGCAAAGGCCTCTCCATGCTCTAGTATCATCCAGGACCTGAAGAACATTGGGAAGGCTTTTCTCAACCCAAGCGAAAGGAGGATGTGCCAGAAGTAGCATGAAAATGTCTATTTTAACTCTCAGTTCGGGCCGGCTAGGAAACAAGAATTCTGGTTTGCAAAACACTGTGGTTTGGGAATTTGGTTTTGTTCTGCATTGGAACATAATTAGAGCTTCTGAAATCGGGGGGTGTGGATGGATGGGGGGAGCGGGGTGTGTAACCATTCAGCTATTGGCCATTTGCAGTCTCTTGCTTCTTCGCTTTCACTGGCTTTGCCCAGAAATTTCTGCACAGCAACATGTAGTGATTTTGACACATCAGCATTTTCCATTGAAAAACTCCTGCCCAGTTCTACTCCCAGTCCAGTGTTATAGGTGTCAGAGGTTTGGGTGAAAATATGCTACCAGAGAAAGTAAAAACTGAGGCTTGTCCTTTTGTAACCCCTAGAGATTACTTTATCTCCGTGCCCACATTCCTCCAGCATCACACACTGGAAAGCTTCAGGTTTCAGAGTGGTAGCCATGTTAGTCTGTATCCGCAGAAAGAACAGGAGTACTTGTGGCATCTTAGAGACTAACAAATGTATTCGAGCATAAGCTTTCTTGGGCTACAAGTAAAGTGGGTTGTAGCCCACAAAGCTTATGCTCAAATACATTTGTTAGTCTCTCAGGTGCCACAAGGACTCCTGTTCTTTTTGGAAAGCTTCAGTGGCCCATTTGCATTCTGCTTCTCGCTGGTATTGTAGAAGTCACGTTTTGATCCTTCAGGTCAACATAGATGCACACATAGACTGCCTAGCTCCCAGATGCTCTAACCCTTCTAGAATCACCATTATGAACCTGCCATCATTTCAAAGCTGGTACCATGATAATCCCTCGCCCTCGCTCATGAACAGAGACTGAACTTCTAATTCTAGGCTACAGGCCTCCAATACTTGATCTAAAGGATTATATTCAACTGGACACACTATAATTCCTCACTTCCTGTCATCAAGAAGCTGTGCTTTGCACTGTTAAATAACTGCTATGCTCCACCTCAGAGGTGGCTGCATTTCAGTGGTGTACTAATCAACCTCTACATATTATTTAAGTACCTTGTCAAATGTTGCAAAGTTCAATTAATGTTTGCAAAACAGGTTGCAGTTTGCCAGTTGCAAATGGCAAACAAAGAACATGTCACTGAGAGAGTCAATTTCTTTCCTATAGGATCTATTTATGTTGACAGTTGTTATTGATAATCACATATGTCGGGAGGGAGTTTGCTCGGCTGTCATGACAGCATGCAAGTAACATCTTCGCTCTCTCTTTGCTCAGATCTGAAAGGCGTGGTTTCAGCCAAGAACGATATCCGCGTAGAGATTGTACATAAGGAGCCTGCCTCAGGCAGAGAGACGGAAGAACACCCGACTATCAAGCAGCTCCTGGTAAGGATTTCTGTGTCACTTCGTGTAACCTTTGACAATAATGAGGGCAGGCACGTATAGGTCGGTGCACTAACGCCTGCCGAAGGCAATGGCTGCTCTGCCAAAATCTCGCACCTGTCACGACGACTTGTAAGTTTCACTGCCATAAAAACTCCTCGCGTGCAACTTTGCTAATGAAGAGGAAGAGCCGGGAGAGGTTTATTAGCATAGCTCAGCAGCCCACAGGGCTAATTGCAAGGAAAGTTTGCCACCTCAATAAGGAAATTGCTGCAAACTGCAAATGGAGGCACAGTAGGTTGAACAATATATAATAATCAACTAATTAGTGGGGAACAACTGTGCTAGGCTGAAAAGAAGCCTTGGAGATTTATATGTGCACAAGAAGCGTATTTGCATGTAGTCATTTGCAGGTAGAGGTTGTTAATTTTGGTAGTGTCCTGCCCTCCCAGCATGCCACTTGTCCATGTCATTACCGGCAGCTGCAGGAGCCTCGGGCGCTCACCTCTTAGGTGGCACTAGCTGAGGCATCAGTGTTCCTGGGAGAGTTAGGAGAACTGCATGAAGTGGCATGGGTGAGTCGGGTGGAGGCGCACTCCTCTCAGACAGTATCGAGCCAATGCCCCACCATGATGCTAGACAGCCCTGGGCAGCTGGAGGTGCTGTCTTTCTGGGAACATGTGAATTTGGGTCCTCTGGGTCAATAAAGACCTCCAGGAGACCCTGGCCTGTTAACAATGGGGGTTAATACAGTGGACTGAGTGGCTCAAACTAAGGGTATGTCTAATCTGCAACAAAAATCCAGCTAGCATTGGGTTTCAGAGCCTGAGCTCCACTCCAAGCAGGAATGGCTATTTTTAGCAGCTTAGCACAAGCCTGAGCTGGTAGATCTGTGCTCTGAGTCTCCCTGCCACGGGAGGTGTTTTTTGCAGTATAGACGTACCCTAAGTCGTGGGTTCAAAACTAGCCAGAGTCATTTGTGATGGAACGTCCTTACCCACAGAAGGCTGTTGGGAAGCTTTGTGAAATGAATTGGTGGGAATGGGCAACTTAGTCTAGCTGAGGGGAAAAAAGGGGTCTGCAGCAGACTTGCCAGTCTCAGCATAGGCCCAGTGTAGGGGTGGTTACAGAGTCACAACTCTCCCTTTCCTCCCCCACGTGGCTCATGGCTGGAGTGTAGTGACTGGAATGGCATGGCATAAACTTGCACTAGCATGGTCTGTGCAGTTTGTGTCCCAGGAACTTGCTGGGTCTGCTAGTTCAACCCCCTCAAATCAAGATTCCATAAGCCACGGTGACTGCACAACAATCGGCACCTGATTAGGGAGAATTATTGCTATTAAAGGTCTTTATAACTTAGGGTTACCATATTTAGTGCCTCCGAAAGGAGGACACTCCACGGGGCCCCGCCCCCAGCCCCACCCCCGCCCCAACTCCGCCCC